ACATATTTTTTAAATTCCCCTCCTCCCTCTTACCTGCATGAGATCCAAGTCATAGCAGGTATTTTTAGCAATAGGTTGTTTCCTTGCCAGTCTCACTGTCTCACTCTACACTTTTGGTTCCAATCCTGTTCACTTCCACGGCTACCTAATTAATAATCTCCCAATACAGCTCTGATTATTGCACTCTCTTGTTCAAACACTTCCAGGTGCTCCCTACCCAATAAATTTGGAACTCCTTATCCCATTCAATGGCACCCACGATATGCTTTAATCTCTTTCTCAGACTCTACTGTTCATCATGCCCACCTTTCTTTTCTTTAGCTAGGTTTTTAAAGTGCCTCCATACAGATCATGTTTGGTCCTCACAAAAATTCTGAAAGGTAAGAAATTCAGGTGATAATATGCTCATGTTTCAAATGAGGAAAACAGACCCGAGAAGAAAAGTGGACCGGTCAAGACTCCTTGACTAGAGAATAGCAAAGTCTATCTACAGCCCGGGGCCAAGAGTTAACCCAAGGACTGGAGCACTCAACCTTTCTCAGAAAGGCAACCTGGCCCAACTAGATTGTCCACTGCTCCCAGAGCTCTGCCCTCCCTCAAGTGTTCACTCACGTAATCTTGGAATACTTTGCTCTGTTCTCCATTTACCTGAATCCTTGCTGCCTGTGAAGCTCTCCTCTTTTCCTCCTCTAACTCACAAAGTGATCATGCAATTGCTTTTAATCCCACTCTGCCTTCTTAGTCTCCCTTTTACTGTCTCAAATTATGATTGAAATGAATGATTCTCATTTAACCTTCTATGCACTTAGTTTTTTTTTCTCCCCAACAGACTGTACACGTTGTGAGATTCTGGCCTGTCTTAAATGTCTCTGTAGCCTCTGCCTATTACTCTTTGTAAATGCACAACAAATATTTGCTCTGTGTGTGTATGATATGTGTGATTCCATTTTTTTTAGATGGCAGGATATTTCATATATTGTTTCATGTTATTGTTGTTTTCCAAGTGTAGAATATCTACATCATTATATCTAGAATCCTAGCCATGCGGAAAACCTGGTATAATCTTTATCATCCAGTGCACCCTGACAATACCTTTCACTCACTGAACATCCGTTGGCATTCTCTAAATCCTTAGTTAGCGTCACCAACTATTTTAAATAGTCTGCTAATGGCTGCAATGAATTAATATTCTAAGCAGCTAGAGACTCATTTTCCCATACCTTGATTTTTAATATCGTTCTAACTCAAGCACACTAAATCAGAATGTAACTTTGTTTTTTGTCAAGCCGTTACTTTAATTGAATTTGGCCGTTCCTTCCAATGACTGGCCTGGCTTTGCTTAATTGGAGCTTACCCTAATGCAAATAACGGTATTAAAGAAGAAAAAAGATGGTGACCAGGTCTTTCAGCTCAGCACAAATGAATAAAACATATTTCACCCACACACCATACCACAATGTATTTTTCTAGTATTAGAAATGTTTTTCTTCTCTAAAGCAGTCCTGCAGTTGAGAAAGCTTTTCTGATGTCAGTAAGCTTCTGAATGGCACTCAACTGAGTTACATTTACCATAGGGCTCACCATACCGCCTCTTAACGTGTCCCAGCGGCTCATATCTAGAATGGTAATTTGTCCAGGGTGGTTGAGGAAGCCAGCCACTTTAGCTAAAACCCCTGGGGGTTGTTGCACAAAAGCAGAAAATGGATTCAGTTTGAATGTTCCTTAATTAACTTCCACAGACGGACAGCAAAGATTAGTGAAATACTGTTAGCCCCGACTTAATACTCTTCCCAGTGAACAGAGGCCATAACCGTTACTGAAGTACTGAGGACTGAGGACAGTGATGGAGGACGTTTAAAGCCGCACAAAATGACAGCATTATTCTTATGTCAGTGTGTAGCTCATGTGAAAGTCTCTTCTAAACACAGTGAAGGCTTCAGCTGTTTCTTAAAGATTCAATACAGATTTGGCCAGGTGTGTTTCTGCACTTTGAGCCCCTGTTCTACTCTCATACACTGAGAGTGTGCACAGAGAAAACCCTTGGTTCTGGGTGAGATCTTCTGATACTGGGACCTGAAAAGAGTCACTTGTGGTCCAGGTCTTGATCTTCTCCTATGCAGGCACAGAAACAACATCTCTTCACTTCATTGAGGAATAATCTAGCTTTGGAGAATCACTTCACTTTTTAAAATTCCGATTGCTCTGAGTTACAAAGTTACAAAGAATTTATTTCTTATTAGTCGGGGAATGGTTGGATATTTGTCATCTAGTGTACCCATTATCACAGAAATAGATATGCAATCAGAGCAAAGAGTGTTGGAAAGTCAGGAGGAATATTTCATCCAGATACATAACAGACTTGAACATTTTCCCTACTCCAATTACATAACTTTTAGTGATTGAAAGATTGGTTCTCCTCAGAAACAATACGTTTCCCCTCCCTACCAGTGTGGACCTATATTTATTCTTTTCTAGGTTCTATGACAATTGCCTCCCTTCAGTTATGTCATTAGGTGTTACTTATATTTTAATCCCCTTGATGAGTTTCAGGATTCATTATAGCCTAGTGATGAAGCACATCAAATCTGAGTGAAACAGACATAAATTTAGGACATATATCCAACACTTTACAGCTGTGTGATCCTAAGCAATTTTCTTAGCCTGAGTCCAGTTTTTCCATCGGCCAAGGGGAGGAGAGACCTACCTATTCCTAGAGTGGTTTTGAGATTTAACTGGATAATTCATGTAAAGTTCTTGGTACACGATAAGTGTTCAGAAGGGACAACTGTTTGTATCGGTATTACTGCTCATGCGTGAAATTTGACTTTCTCCCCATTAAACCAGCATTCTTTCCTCTCTCCATGATGAAAGTTCTTCATGGCTAGCAGTATTGTTTTCATTTATAAACTATGTATGTGACAGGCAAAACACACTTATAAGATGTCAACTTCCAAAATGAAAAAAATGTAGGTAAAATTAGTATCCCCATTTTACTGATGGAGTATTAGAGACATGAATAAAATCTGACCAGACAGCTAGTAAGATATGAAGTATTCCAACAAAGATGATCACAAAGCAAACTCCTCTTACATAAGCTTTGGGTTTCTCTTTCATATCATTTAAAAAAAATAAGTGAAATATTTACATGTTGAAAAAAAATCCCTCAAATAGACTTGTTAAAAATTTTGGACAAGCAAGAAAAATTAAGGTAATGACCTAGCTTGTTGCATGAGAGATAATACCAATTTATAATGCTTTACAGCAGTTAGACATGGAAATGTGTTTGATTCTTAGATTCTTCCTAGCACTTTCTTACCTGGGATTTCATACCCTTACAATGACTACCTTCCTCTTCATCATTTCGTATTGTATCCTTAGCATTCATGGAATGCACTCTGTTCTTTAAAATAAGAGAATTGAATAGAATATGCCCATATTATAAATCATATGAGGGCTACTTTTGCATGTCCTCTAAAGCAATTATATATTCTCCCATGATTTTATGATTATCAACGGAGATAACAAGCAACAATGTCTCTAGTGTACAACTATGTCCATCCTAATCTCCAGACCCATATCTCCATTCTCCTACTCCATGTCCAGCACTTTGAAACCATGCAGGCTCTTCAAACTAACATGTTCTAAATGAACTCATTGTTTCATCCCTAAACCCATCCTTTCCCTGTTCTCCCTAGCTTGGTGGACTGGACCACTATTAACTCAACTGCCCTAGCTAGAAGCCCAAACATTATTCTTCAGACTTTCCTGTCCAGTTAATCACTACGTCATGCCCAACGTTGGACATCAGTGGAAGTTGAGTGATTCAATAAAAAACAAAGATTCCAAACCAAAGTGCTTTGCCCTAATGCAGGAAGATTAATGTCTTAAAGTAGAAAATACGTACCCTAGAGACATTTTGATTCATGGAAAAAGGGAAAAGACATTTTTGTTTCCATATTTCTCTTAATGATATTTGTGCAAAGAAGTATATGGTAGATGTATTAAGATGACTTTCAACAGCGAAACAGAAAGACCTCTTGTCAAGTGATAGCAATTAAGGTCAGCTATACTATGTTGGGGAGTACATAACGGATGTGGGAGATTCTACTTGGCAGAAGGAAACTAACTCTCTTACTTGAAGAGACTTTCTGGTTTTGAAAGTCAGGCAAACGGTAAGGACAAAGATTAGCCAGATGAAACAAACAGAGGGTTTTCTGTTGTCTATGTCTTTTGTACTTTTGCATTTATTCTTCTCTTTTCTCAAGGCATAAGCTATTTCTTATTTTCTTTTTTTAAGGTTTTATTTTTTTTAAGTAATCTCTACACCCAATGTGGGGCTGTAACTCACAACCCCAAGATCAAGAGTCACATGCTATTCCGACTGAGCCAGCCAGGTGCCCTATTAGGCACAAACTATTTCTTGAGCTTCTGCTCCTTTTTCTATTCCAAAAGCGGGATTATTTCATGGTAAATGAGTTTCCCTCAGAAAGAGTGGTCTAGGATAAACCCTCCTCCCTCTTTGCGGCAGGGAGCTGCCTGTTGGATTTCATTTTCCATACATTTATTATCTTTCTAGTTATTTAACAGTCTTGTCGGATGGGTTTCTTTGTTAAACAAGTTCAAATACTGAGATTAACATTGCAAAATATAAGCTTTTAAAAGCAAGACAAAACAAACAAAAAGGAAATACATTGATTACAATTGCTTCGATTCTTCCTCATGAAATTGGAAAAGTTTAATCATTTAATGGTAAATGGCATTGTAAAAGAAAACTGTACAGAGAAAAAAAACACCTAAGTGTGACTTTTGCCTTTTAAAAATATTAAATCAAGAAAGACAAATTGATGCAGCCAACTTTGAAACTTAATCACACTATAAAACCAAACATAAAAAAACATGCATGCTATAATTTTTTTACACTCTCATTTGTCTGTCACAGTTTGTGCCTGATGTTGGTCTGTCTGGTAGGAGGAATAATTTTCAATTAAATTAGTACTTACCATCGTCTTTGTCAGGGACGATCTTAACCTGAGCCCCTGGGAACTCTGATCCAATCCTCCCACCCATGGGCATGCTCAGAAGGACATGGAATGTTTCTTCCTCTTCATACAAGGAATCATCAATAACAATGATGCGACACATTTTCTCGCGCTCATCTTTGTCAAAGCGGATGACACTGGTATGGTCCTCGGGCCTGGATATGTAATCTGAATAGGACAGCACTGATGTGGGCACAGTTCCGCCTGCCGTGCCTGGGGACAGAGAATCCGAATGGTGTTTATGTAGAACATGTTACAAGGGTGTTTCCAGAAATAATTATTTTCATATGCAACATCTTCATGGTCAATTTGTATATCTGAACCTCCCTGGAAATTGCAATAGTGCCTACATACCGTTTTAGCATCATGAGTCCCCTTCGCAGTGGTCTCAAACATACAAAGAGTATTACATTTCAAGTGTTTTCTTCTCTACTTCCTGCCACTGGTCTTTCAGAAGAACACAACATTACAAAATAATAGCTCCTACTATTCCAACGCTTACTGGGTGCAGGCAAAGTGCCAAGTGCTTTACATGCATTACCTGCTTAATCCTCTCAACACTCTATTGGGGGTTACACATTGGAGACTTACAGAGGTTAAACCACTTGCTCTGGGACCCAGAGCCCAAGGCGGACCCTGAAGGCTGTGTTTCAGACCACAATTCTTTATTGCCTTTCAACTCATATAAATACATTAATGGGAATTTTCACGAATGTCTGCTCAGATATCAACTGCCTATATGACATTCTCTTTTACATTCTTAGAAAGTCTACCTGTTTCTTAGAAAGATACTTAGCATATTAATGAATATTATGTATTAATTTTAATTTTGTATTACATAAAATCACCTTTCAGAGGAGGATTACCTAATGAGCAAAAGAAATATTTTGAAATTCAGAGGAGGCTTACCCAATGAGTAAAAGAAATATTTTGAAATTCAGAGTTTTAAACTACTTTGAAATTAGTTTCTTTTCCTTGGGTATGTATTTTTTTGTCTCCCCCACCCCCCCTTTTAAAAAAGAACCCTCTTCTACGTGATTGTGTTTGGGTGGGGGAAGGGGACTTCAATTTCTTGCACTCCAAACAGCTTTGAGTATTAGAGTAAGTAACCACACAAATCACATATGTTTTGATAAGTAACAGCAGTGCTGCCAGGCCCTCTTATCTCTAGTAATTGCTTTTTTTCTCCTCAGAGGTGTAATAGTGAAAGAAGACTTCTGGATAAATGCTTTTTTGTACTTTATGAAAACTGTAATAATAAAGCATATCCCTCAAGGCATAATGTTATGGTTCCAACATGTCAAAGAGGCTTACATATACATCTTTGGGGGGACAGTTCAGTTCTTTGGTAAATCGAGCTACCTTGTTGTGTATAACAGACCACCATCAGCTCCTGGCTCACGTCTCCACTTCTCCTGACGGGAATGAACAGCTCACCGACATCTTCTTCAACAGAGTATTCAGACTGGGGAATAAATACAGTTGACTCTAAGGAGAAAACACAATCGCAGCTACTATTATTTTTGTCTGAGTTCTAACAATCCTAGGCAAATTAAAATTGCTCTAGCAATCAACTTTTTCCCCCTTGCATATTCTTTTAGAATAACACAACGTGAGGGGAAAGAGGAGAAGAGGGGACCAATCATAGGTATAAAGCGTGCAGGTTCTGGGCCAGTGAATTCTTAACCTGGAGATAAAGCCCAACACTGCTTTTATCTCTAGTTATTGGTTTTTTCCCTCAATCAGTACAGCTGACATACTTCCTTTAAATGCAACTTTGTTCTCTTGACACAGGTCACCACCTTCCAGTGGCGTAGTCAAATTTTAGAGGCAGAAGAGATGTCGAAGTCACCTTGTACTTTACAGATGAAGAAACTCAGGTGCAGAGAGTTGAACTTACTTGCCAAGGCCTCCTACTGGTTGAGTCAAAATGAAAATTCAGATCTTGTAAAATCTGCTCAAATTTACCTCAGATGTATTCCTTTTGAATGATTAATGCTTAAAAATATAATAACGCATTGTTCAATACTTGATTTTTGTTTGTTTGTTTGTTTTTTAAATCGCAGTTCCTTTAGAATTCATGAATCTATTAGTCAGCTGTAAGGAACATACCTGTGGTTTCCTTCCTCCCCTAGAGAAATAACAATAACACACAGTATACAACATTATATTTATAGAATAAGTCTCAGTGATTCATTTTTAAGGTAGTTGAAAGGCATGCTAAATAATAAAAATGGCATAATTAAATTGGTGAAAAATATAGTTCAATGTAAAAGTAGGTTGAGTTCAGGAAAACATTTAGTTCAATAAGTTGACATGATAACCCCCAAACAGATACTTTGGCGACTGGGAGTCTGTTTCACTGAAGTCTCGCATATGCATAGAAAATGCTTCATGGGGCGCCTGGGTGGCTCAGTTGGTTGGGCGGCTGCCTTTGGCTCACGTCATGATCCTGGAGTCCCGGGATCAAGTCCCGCGTCGGGCTCCCTGCTTCGGCAGGGAGTCTGCTTCTCCCTCTGACCCTCCTCCCTCTCATGCTCTCTATCATTCTCTCTCTCTCAATAAATAATAAAAATCTTAAAAAAAAAAAAAAGAAAATGCTTCATGGTTATTTTTCAAACAGTAAGCCACCCTGCTTTTGATGATTATAAAAGACCGTTGGAATAAGACATAGGCGCTCGGGGTCCATGTCCCATCCACTCCACCCTGCCCTGTGCCCCAGGAGCTGATGAATGTGAACCACATCAGAGGTTTCCCTTGTGCTCTGGCTTCCCGATGGGTCAGCCAAAGGAGAGCACAGGCAGGACTTGGAGGTGAGGAGCAGAATGAGGTCTGCACCATTCATTCCCCTGGCTGCTTCCGGGTTCATGGCTGGCTGCACCCCTTCCCCCAAGTAACAGTCATGGTGCCCACTGGACTCCCTAGCTTACTCTCTGGATTGAGCTAACTTCTCCTTCCCTTGCCCTCAGGCCTAGAGGTGGTAAGGGTGCCTACTCTTACTAGCCTTTATCCTCCTAGCCTTTTTCATGCCTGGTGGTCTCCCAGTCTTTGCCCTCAACTTTGTAAATAGTCATACTACTACATTCTTTTTAAATTACTTAAATTAATTTAAATTTAAATTATTACATTTAAAATATTGAGTATGTCATTTGTTTTCTTCTGAGATTCTGACTGATATATCAATGTAAAAAAATGGTACCATTAAAAAAAAGGTGGTTATAAGATTTTATAACTAATTATTCATTTATCAAACATTGATTGGGTGACTTGTACTTGCCAGACACTCCTACTAGGCAGAGGGGATATGGAAGTAAACAAAATCCCTGGTCTTAGGGAGTTTTCAGTCTAGTTGGGGGTGGGGGAGAAGAATAAAATAAACAAATACACAAGAATAGACGTCAGGAAGTAACAAGTTATATGAAGAGAATAGAGTGCGCTGAAGGTGACAGGGAGGGCTAGGGCAGGGTATGCGCCATAGTGGGCCTGTGTTATATAGCAGTGTATCTCTGATAAGAGTCACATTTGAGCTGAGATTGCAAGGTGGTAACCAGATGCCCCCTGTGAATAACTTACAGAAGAGAATTCCAGGCAAAGGAATGAACAAGCGAAAAGGGCCTCAGGCCAAGTCATGCCAGGTGTGTATAAGGAATGGCCAGAAGGCGAATGTGGCTTGAGTAAACTGAGTAAGGAAGAGAGGGCAAGACATGGGACCAGAGAAGCAGCGATTGGGTGGGTGGTGGGAAGATCAGGTGACGCTTTCAAGATCACTGGGAGTACTTTGGGTTTAAGTCAGAATAAAATACTGTGTAAATAATCGAAGATTACCCAATGGGATGAAAACACAGTGGCTATTCAAAGTTCCACATAGCAAAGGAGTCAGCCACCGTCACTTGTCTTTGGCAGAGCCTCAAAGGCAGGCTGAGGAGTTGGAGGAGATGGAAAGCTTTATAGGAGAAGAAAAGGAAGGCTGCAGCTGTGCCCTGACTAGAGGCTGTTGGTACAGGGAAGCTGTGGGCAGGCTGACTAGAAGTGGGGCATCCCACGTGACTAGTTATGGGAGCACATCTGGTTTCTCTGGTGGGTCTTAAATTGAAAATGAGGAGAAAAATTAGGGAAGCTGTCAGTTATTGATTAAATTTTGACCCCTTGAGGCTGATTGCTTCAGAGGCTGTGGTGTCGCTTCCCAGTTGCTGTCGGTTGCGGGTCTGAGTTGTATTTTAATATGTGGTCTGTCTGTTGCTTGTGTGTATGTCCATCCACCTCTCAATATAAAAGCATGAAAGGCTTTGAATATGGGGGTGCTGTAACCTGACATATTTTAAGAACATTAAATATCCAAACTGAGATGTAAAATTAGCCAGCTGGGCATATAATCCTGGATTTCAGTGGACAGGTCCAGATGGGAAAGATAAAAGTGGGAGTTACTGGCATGCTGGTGTGTGTGAAGTCAGAGTCAGAATGAAATCATTTAGGGAGGGATTGTAGATAAACAAGACAATGGAGCCAGGGACTAGCCGCAGGGCATTTAGAGGTCAGGGAGATAAAGGAAGGCTGAGCAAAGGAGGCTGAGTGGGGTCCAGTGATGAGAACAACCAAGGGAGTGTGGATACTGGAGGCCAAGTGCAAAAAGTGTTTTAAGAAAAAGGGACTGATGAAATGTTTCAAATGCTGCTGACAAGTCAAGAAAGTCGAGAATAGATCATTTGGGCAAAGGGAAGTCACTGGTTATCTTTACAAGAACTGTTTCAGTGGAGTCAGGGGACAAAAGCCTGAAGGAATGAATGGGAGGAGAGAAACTGGAAGACAAAAGGCATAGACATTTCAAAAAGTTTGCTGTCGATGGAGTGACATCTAGAGAAATATCTTGTTTATTTTTAAGATGAGTCTTTGTAAGGGCAAAATTACTCCTATTATGAAGTAGGATTTTACCAAACATAAAATTTCAACACAGAAATTATCATAACATTTCATTAGAAAAAATACACAAAGTGCCATGAAATATTCAAGTCAGGTATTCAATGAGTTCCAACGAGTTTCTTTATTAACTAATGGAAATTAAGTCCAGTATCACTTAGGTTTTGGCAGTCCTCAGGTCATTTACTCCAACAGCATTAGTATATATATTACACAAAGTTTTGTTTCTTTATTAAAGTTTGCTGTGGACTGAACGTGTCCCTCAAAATTTATACATGGAAGCCCTAACCCTCAGAGTGATGATATTTGGAGGTGGGGACTGTTGGGAAGAAATTAGGTTTAGATGAGGTCATGGGGGTGGGGTCCTCATTTTGGGATTAGTATCCTTAAAAGAATAGGGAGAGCTCTCTCTCTCTCTCTTTCTCTCAGTCTCTCCACAGACATGCACCAAAGAAAAGCCATGTGAGCATATTAGCAAGAAGGCAGCAGACCCCAAGCCTGAATCTGCCGGCACCTTGGCCTCCAGAACAATGAGAAATAAATGTCTGTTGCTTATACCACCCAGTATGTTATATTTTGCTATAGCAGCCTGAGCTAAGACCGAGTTGATCATATATAATACTTATTCTGTACTTCTAATCTATACTGGCCAACTTTTAAAAATAAGTTATTCATAAAAGTCCCACGTATGGCATTGTAACTGCATACCTTGAGTTCCTCCTACATGCTATGGCCCATGCAGGTTTGATTAAACAAGCCAGCACTGGTTGCTAGAGCCAGGATCTTTGAAGTATGAATAAAGATGAAAGCTAGGTGTCCAGAGCTTGCCCTTAGCTCTGGAACCCACTCCTACACTTGGTCTGACAGAGGGTGAAGAGGTCCAGCACCACGTTTAGGTCTTCTGCTGACCAAACTTTGGGCGGAAATGGATGGTTTATGGGAGAAACAGGAAAAGGAGAGAGGAAGAAAAGCTTCCCTGGTAGATTTTTCTAGTTAACATAATTTTTCAACTTCACTTCATATTTATAGTAGATGCTCACAAGCTGACTGTCTCAAGCAAGCACAGCTTTTTAAGTGTAAAATCCCCCAGAGTGGCATCCTTAAAAATTATTAGCTAATACCAAAAAAAATTACCTAATACATATGGGGTTCTTACTGTTTGTGAAGACTTATTCTAAACCCCTCACATGTATCGGCTGGTTTTATACTGGCAACAAAGCTTTCATGTAAGAACTATTATGCCTGTCATTTTACCTCTGAGGACACGAGGCACACAGAGGTTACGGAACCAGTGGAAGGTTAGGCTGGTAGTGGCAATGCCCGTATTTGAACCCAAGAAGCCCGTCTCGAAGACCAAGCCCATGACTGCTATCATCTACTTCTAAAGGAAGAACATTCAGGGTAGCAGGCATCAGCACTCACACCAGAGACACACAGAAGGCTCAACCGAGATTATAAAAGACATAATTACTGCAAAAACAGAGCCGGCAGGGACCGCAGAGGCAGAACAAAGGAAGCTAAAAACAAGTATTTTGAGAATTCCTTTACAGATCCAACGTATTCATAGAATTCTA